TGCCTCCACAGCCTGCCTGAGGGGGGGGGTTGCAAAGAAAAAAACGTTTGTTTATGTATGTAAAATGTGCCTCCACAGCCTGCCTGAGAAAGGAGGGTAGGGTTTGCAAAGAAAAAAACACGTGTTTTTTTGTGTGTAAAATGTGCCTCTACAGCCTGCCTGAGGAAGGAGGGAGGGGTTTGCAAAGAAAAAGAATGTGTATGAGAGAGAGTCTCACCCAAATCAGCTGGACACTGCAGGAACTAGAGTCCTTTGCCTCTGCATTTGCAGAAGTGAGTCAGTGGCTCACATCTGAAGTACTGGTTATTGAAGCCTCTCATGTAAACAATGAAACAGCTTCTGTCTTAGGTCAGGTGAGAGAAAGCAACTTGTCTTCAAAATAAAAGGGAGGTCCTTGGGTCAAGATCAGACAACTGAACTTTGGCCTAGTTACTGATTCCTCCATTATGCTATATTGGTGCTGCATTTTCCCATTAGGAATGAAGGCACCACAACCATTTCCTCGCTTTCCAGTTCTCTCTTAATTTTTTTTCTCCCTGCAATTTAAAGTGTGTGTGAGGGGGAAGATGCATAAAGTGCTAACTGGAGTAGAGAAATGGCAGAAATAGTGAAAAAATGACTAACCACTCCTTTCCCATTCAAAATCTCCCCCCCCCCCGAAACCAAGAATTTGCTGTTCTTAAAATTGGCACTGTTTTGCTAAGGGAGACGGTGGAAGACCGGAAGGCCTGGCGTGATCTGGTCCATGTGGAAGACCGGAAGGCCTGGCGTGATCTGGTCCATGGGGTCGTGAAGAGTCAGACTCAACTATGCAACTGAACAACAACAACAAAACCCACTAGAGTAGGCCTGGATCAGTAGATGTATGGGGACCTAGATATGAGTCCAGTAACACCTTAGAAATAAGCAAGGGGTTTTTTTTGGGGTGGGGGGTAATAAGCTTTCAAGACTCGAAGCTCCCGTCATCAGATATAGGGAACTGAATATTTACCCCAATGTGACAAATAGCATTTCCATGGAAATATTTTTCAGGTTGAGGAAATGACTGGGTGGGAGCTTAAATTCTCCCTCCTCCTGCAGCACAATCACAATGCAAAATTGGGCCCTGCACATTTGCGTTTTAAATGACACAAACAAACAAATTGCTTGGGCATTCATTTGTAGAACTCCCAGTACAGTATTAAGCAGGCTAGTTGCAGAAGTCTTTGAAAGTCCTGGGATGAAATTTGGGCGTTTAGGAAGCTAACAATCCCGATTGTGTTTTGTTTCCAGTGCCAGAACTGGATCCACACACCATTGGACGATGCACTATTGTTGCCCATTAGCAGTCACTTGTTATGCTATTGTCCTGTGCATAAGGGGTGAGGGGGAACAGTTCAACACATGAAGCTGCCTTATACTGAATCAGACCCTTGGTCCATCAAGGTCAGTATTGCCTACTCAGACTGGCAGTGGCTCTCCAAGGTTTCAGGGAGAGGTCTATTGAGAGAGGAGGTCCTAAAACTGATAGACAACTTAAAAATGGATAAATCACCAGGCCCAGATGGCGTACATCCGAGAGTTCTGAAAGAACTTAAATGTGAACTTGTGGACCTCCTGACAAAAATATGTAATCTTTCCTTAAAATCTGCCTCCATTCCTGAGGACTGGAAGGTAGCTAATGTCACTCCCATCTTTAAAAAGGGTTCCAGAGGAGATCCGGGAAATTTCAGGCCAGTCTGTCTGACGTCGATACCGGGTAAATTGGTGGAAACCATTATTAAGGAAAGAATTAGTAGGCACATAGATGAACAAAACCTATTGAGGCATTAATAATTTCATGTGTGTAACTCATTTCACAGTTTTGGTCTATAATCTGCAGGCATGGTTTACCCATGTCAAATAAAAAGAAAACTAGATGACAAATGAATGTTCTTTTAGAGTGGGTTTAATGCTCAATAAGCTCATCATGTCTGAATATTTTTACAGTACAAGTGATAGCACAGTCACTTGTGAGTGCATTCTGATGTATGGAAAAAGAAGTACATTTTCCTGGTGTTTTTTTTTAAAGCATTAACATAACACTGGCCACTGGCAGGTCAGTGTTGTCAGGTATTCATATGGTTTGTTTCAGCTGAAGGGCCGTGGCTCCATGGTAGAGCATCTGTGTGGCATGCAGAAGGTCCCAGGTTCAGTCACCAACATTTCCAGTTCAGTCAACCCTCACCCATAATAGAAGCAGCACCTGTAGCTAGATGAAAGGAATTCTCTCAGTGGCCATTGTTTGTCAACCACAGCAGTTATTTCCAGCCTTCAAGCATTTGATTCTGTCAGTAAAATGCAGGGGGAAGAGAGCATGTCAGGCCTGACAGCAGACACTGGACAACTTGACACCATGCAACTTGCATAACTCATGCAGGCCCAGCTGCTTGCTAACGCTCAGCAGCTGCTGCCCCCTGAAGTATTGTGTAGTGGTTAGTGTTTCAGACAAGGATTTGGGATACCCAGGTTTGAATGTGAGTTGGGAAATACCTGGAGATTTTTGGGGTGGAGCCTGAGAGGTGGGTGTTGCCTTCTGACACACGTCCGGTGATGTCAGGGGGTGTGGCATATGCAAATAAGTTATGCTAATTTCGACAAAAAGACCCCTGTCAGGCAACATGACAGGGGAGGGGGACAGGACCATTGCCAAGGTTGTTTTGGCTTTCAAATCCACATCCACTGCCTCCATGGTTTGCTTTACTGAAACCAGGACTTTGAAGGCTCAGCAATATTGTTGCAGTTGCGTTAACAACCTCCAAAATGGTCACTGCAGGATCAGTGGGAATCCTTTTCTTAAAGCTACAGGAGTAGTTTCTATTAACTTGGGGAATTTTACGTCCCCAACATTCTTTTTTAGATTTGAAGTTTTTCTGAAAACTTTGGATTTCCTTTAGGTCTATAGAGAAATTCCCCCCTCTGTCAGTAGCTCCGTTTTGCAGATCTATTAATTCACATTCTATGGCCTGGTTTGGAATTAGATCTATGATGTTGAAGTTCCTTAGAACATTCACATATCAGCAATGTATGACCCTGTAGTTGCTGATGATGGCGTGCAAACATTTCACCTTTGCATTTCGGTATATGTGGAAGATACATTTACACATTACCCTGTCATGTGCATTGCCTGCACAAAGAATTGCACGAGGAAAGGGAGGTAATATCTGAGGTACGCCAGATGCCTTAAAGTAAGGGACTATGGATTTTGAAGAACTAGAAGTTAGCTCTAATAAAATCTCTGTAAAGGTAAATGCATTTGTCATAGGATAAACTCAAAGCTTATTTTTCAGGTCTTACTTTATACATTTACTGTTCTTGTCCTACTATGTACATGCAGTTAATATGAATTGAATGGGAAAATCATATAACTGGTACAACTGTTGTTTGGTCAGTTACATATCAGCATGAAAACAAATCATAGTTTTGCATCTATATGGAGCCTTTTGCTCATTTCCTCAAATGTGCAGTGTATGTTCAATACTATTATAGCACAAACGTTTCCAGTGCACAGTTCATATTTGCCAACAGTTTCCTGATAACAGTTTCCTGATAATCTCATAATAATCGTCCTAATTGCAATTCCCTCGTAACATGCTCCCCTTCCTTGACATCAGCAAATGTAATGGAAAATTGACAAATAGATAAGATACTGTGACTGAAGTACAGCATCATACAGAACCAGAAGACCAGAGGGGTTCTGAGCTCTTGTTAGGAAAAGAAAACAAAGATGGGGTGCTAGGCAGGCTGGGGGGAAAGGCAAAGCCACCAAGGAAATCATGAACCTTTCTGTACAACTCAAAATTTTATGCCTCCAGCATTTCAGACAGTAGTTGACTCAGTACAAGGTATCATCTCACTTGCTTCTGTTCTGGGAGCCCCTTCTGCAGGTCTTGTGCCAATGCACACTTCCACACAATCCTAAGAATGTTTACTCAGAAATAATTCCCACTGAGCTCAAAGGGATTTACTCCAACACAATTGTGTTTAGGATTGCAGCCTTCATCTACTACTTAGGTTGTAGTTTGCAAACTTCATGGGGCAGAAATACATTTCCAAGTGTACTTGTTCTAAAAAACCTTAAGCACAATGGGACCCAAGTCCTAATGAGACCCCCCGCTACTTCTAGGTAAATATTAAACAATATCAACAATCGGTTGTGATGTCTTAATCTCTGAAGAGACCTTAAGCACAAACACAGTTCATTCAGAAGAATCTTTGCAGATGCAATCCAGTTTCCTAGGATGGATTAAAAACATACCATGTGTAAAGAGAGGCCTTACAACATACCTGAAAGTCAACAAACAGCTTGTTTTGAAACAATAGTAAAGGAGTGTTACCAAGTCAAGGGTCCTTGCCAATGCTCTGCTTTAGTTTCCAGAAAATACTTGCAACAAAATCCCCCCCACAGATTTCTGGTTTTAACAAAGGACTAGTTTCCTGATGACTTCTGAGCAGAAAGTTGCAGAACTTCCTTAACAACAGTGTATTCTAGGTTTAGATTTTAAAAATAAATAAATAATATTTAAGTTCACAAGCTACACTGAGCAAAAGTAAGGTTCAGTTTTAAATATGAAATCTAATTTTCAGTTAACTCAAAATATTAGCTATATCATCATATATTTGCTTATTTCCTTTTGCTGATATCAGAATTCATTAAACGTTAAATAAATTAAATCATTATTAATTTGTTTTGTCCTCAAAGCGATCTACTAAAGCTTTTCTATATTTATCACTTGAATTTTATGTCTTGTCATCCTATTATCAACTTCTTTTCCAAAGAGATTCACAATTTTAACCACCACCTTTTTGAAATCGTTCATTTACTAAGTAAAAAGGACAATATTTCCACATGTAAATTATTTCAACATTAGCCTAAGTTGGATTCTGCAGCAATCTCATAGTAAATACAGCACAACTTCAGTGAAAGTTAGTTTACATGTAAAAAGTAGAAGGTTCAGATCCATAAATTACATAAGAAGTGCTTAGTTTTCATCCACAACCATCATTGAAATATAATCTTTGTAGCGCACAGTATTTGTTTCAGGATCCACAGCAGCAGAGAGCATTTCCTCCATTTCTTCCTGAGTAAAAGGCTCACCTGCAACAGAAAGACTATTTATAACATGTTATGTTTTCTACTGTTTAATTTTCCTAGTGTGATTTGTTTTTTCTTTGCTCTTTCATTACATCACTAGTAGCTATAATTATTTGATATCTGCTCCATACAATATTAGAATGTACCTGTACCATTTTATATATGAACACCTGTAAGTATAATGCAAATATAAGTGGCAAATATGGGCTTCCTACCACAAAAGTCTGAATCAATCCTATGGTTATGTTAAAATAAATGAAGGCTTAAAAATATCTGGAAATGGCCTGGGGAGATACTCCACCTTGTTGCACTTTTGGGGCAGATGACATACAAAAATGATTCAACATTGTCCTAAAAGGACAATGTACCATTGCTCATTAGCAAACAGTGTCCCCAAACTACAGCCACTTCAGCTTTCTTTCTGTAAACAGAAAAACATAAAACCACCCCATAAATCTATAGATTTCATCATTGGATGTGCATTTTTACCCCAGCCAATATTATGTCTTGTGGTAAAAATAAAGTCTAATGATGGGAAATTGATCCAGATAACGAATTATTTTATGTCTTGTGATAAAAAAATGTCCAATGATTTCTGAAAAGGAAAATTGATCCAGAGAACAAATTATATGAAACACTACAGTTGTAAGTAGTTGGTGCAAACAACTTGGCTTTCACTGCAAAATATTTTCTTCTCCACAGACCGTTTCTGTGATAGAAAAATAATCCCCCCATATGAACGTCGTTGATTAACAGAGATAGATGTTTTCATTCGCAGCCTATGGTAGCTTTCGAGCATCCTGGGTTCAAAGTTTGGGTATTGTAAACACTCAGGGATGAATCCAATGGAGCACTTCCACAGACAGAAGGACTTCTGTCCGTGGAACCTAATTTTCTCACCTCACCCTCTGCTGTAGCCCAGAATGCTCTCCAAAGTGCTGTTCCTGGGGGCCCTGTCCCCCAGAACAACATTACAGGGAGCATTTGTGGCTACAGTGGGAGAGGGGGAGAAAATTGCCTTCTGAAATGTTCTGTTGAATCCAAGCCTTGATTCTGCTGCCACAAATATGTATTTGCTTAGTGATAGCTGGACTTCGGAATTAGGCTTGGCGTAATAAATACAGCCCATCCCCAAGTACATTTTTGGAAACTTTTAAAATAGAGCTCCCAAAGATAAACAGACTCCAGAAATTATTATTCAAAACCAGAATCGGAACCACTCATATTGATCTTTCTTTTATGAAGTGTTTCAATTTTTTTCTTCCAGGTTTCCAAATAGGATTAGTGAGGAAATCTGATGTTTGAAAGTGGTCCTATTATACTTTAAGTGAAGCACATCATATATGAAGTTTTTCTCTGAATGCTTCCCAAGTTCATTGCAAACAAAGGATAGGTGTAAATTACATACAGGAATGCACATGATTTATATTAGTACAGTTAAGGTGCAAAAGGATCATAGAAGTGTCAAAAAAGTGGTAAAACATGTTATCTCATACTTTCATGTGTATGAATATGACAAGTGTTAGGAAGGTATACAGAATATGAAGCCAATAAGGTCAGCAACCAGGTTTCTTGAAGGATCAAGTGGGGAAGGGGTTGATGGGCCTACCCACCATTCACAAAAGTGCCTCCAGCCACTGATCCCCTGCTCCCTTTCCCCTGGCTTGATGTTTTGCTCAGGAGTCTCCAGCTGCTAATCCCCAGGGTCCATATCTTCCCACACAGGGTGCTCATGGTACCATACTAGGATCTGTCCTTATTTTTTTTCAAAAGTAAAGCTAATTGTAATGAAGACTTTTTACCTTCTTCAGTCATATACTTCACCAACTCCTCTTTAGTAAGATGTCCACATTTATTTTGATCTAAAACCTAAAAATAAGAGAACGTAAATTTTTGTTCCTATTGCTTCAAGGTTTACCAAATATTTCCCCCTGTAAGTAGATTTGTGTTCTTGGTACAGACCTCAAATGCACGTAAAAGAATATCTTCTGGAATTGGCCGGTATCTGAAATAATTAAATAAGTAAATAATGCTGTAATATAAATGTGAAGGGTCACTTTGGAAAATGGACTCCTCCTCCCCCCCATCCCATTTGGGCTGATATATCTATCTATGGCATCGGTGTAACATCAAGGTGTGAAACGTCATTTTAGTGCCATGTTTTTAAAGGGTCTGCAGCTTGATGTGTTATATTCCATCCTAAGAGCCAAACTGCTCTGTGTCTGGAACGCCAAACCTGTTATATAGCCCCTAAGAAGCTGCTGCAGAGGTACTTGGTAGGGCTGTAGCAATGGAGAAGGAGTAATTCACTTTTCCTGCCCTCCAAGGGTGTTATTGTCAAGCAGTTTCGATTGGGCAAAGGCTACAGAGAAAGAAGTTAATTTCCCCTTTCTCAGGAGTGCAGCCTTGATTAGTTCCAGGTCATCCCGGAGGTGTTTTTAGGCCCCCATAATACATTTGGATTTCTAGCCACAGAACTCCAACACCATGTATAATGACCCTAAACTTTCTGAAATGAACTGGTCAATAATAGTAGAAACAAACATGATCACACAACTCTACAGTGAACATCTTATTTAGGACAACATGTGCAGTTTTTATATTCCATTCCAAAATAAGCAGTGTGGAAATGGAACTGTCAAACCTCTAGGCTTAATTAATCCAGGATTTACCAGACTTTGCCCCAAAACGTATTTTTAGTACCTGGACTCAGCCCTGGAAAATGTTGCACTTTGAACTGCCTTTGCCTAAAGATTGAATAACAATGCTAGCCACAACATATCTGGGATTAACAGTAAAGGCTAGCATGTTAAGAAATGACTCCCAAACAGACACTCGTTTTTAGAAATAAGAACACTAAAATAATTACAATAATTCCAGTGGGTTCACTGTGTTAGTCTGCTGCAGCAAAAATAAAGCAGAAATCAATGGCATCATAAACACTAACAAAATGTATTACAGCATACACTTTTGTGAGCTCATCCTGAAACAACCTTTGTTAGTCTTTGAAGTGCCATTTGACTTCTATAATAATTGGACAAGGCACTTCTACTGAAGAACAGACATATCTGTGACATAAAGACTAAACAGATTGCCTCAGGAAGTTTTTGAGCAAAACATTTATTATTGCTAATGTGAAATTTAAACCCAAACCCATACAGTCCATTTTCAAATATAAAAAAACTATTGCAGGTTTAAAAAATAATTTTGCTTCATAACCTTTGTGCTATTAATGAGGTACATATACTGTACACGTGATGTATTTTTCAGCATATCTTTCCAATAAATTTATGTTATAATCTGAAATCAATTATATCTACATCTACCTATCCATCTACTAAGACACAAGAATTACATAGGAAAAATAATAATTGCTGTAAAAACTGTTCACCTCTGAATGAAGGTCATCTTAATTAAATTATATGGAAAGACATATACAAAGCCAATAAGGTATAATAAGAAGTATACTAGTATCTGTCTGTCTACCTATCTAGAATCCCTGTCCCCCATTTTAGTGGTTGCCTAAAGCAAAACCGACTTTTCATATCATTTATCTTAAAAACATTTTATCCATGCAACTATGAATGGATTATAATTAAAATCAGCCACATACACATTACCCAACTCGCGCAATTTAATTTTTTTCTGCTACCTTCTTTCCATTAATATTCTAGTCATCATAGGAAGAAATTTTTCCAGACGAATAAATCCAGTTGGTTCTTCTTCTTCCACCTAAAAAACAAAGAATGTGACACACACAGGATATGTGAGAACTATTTCTCAAGCTGAAACAAGGCAATTATGACATGAAACGGTAAAAGAAATGCAAAAATGCTGCCTGACTCAATATACTGATGTTGCTAAATGGGGCAGCTGTACTATCCCACAGAAATGGCTAGAGAGGAGGCCAACCCACATCCCTCTCCTTCCCCAGCGACACTGGGTACCTATACATTGCCTTGGGAACAGACCTTACTTTCTCTGTACAAAATATCAAGTAATCCAGACCAATGTTCCCTCTAAGATCCACAGTGTTGTCAGCAGAAATTCTACCTTGTGAGCGAAAAAAGCTAGTAGCATTAAAGTTGTGAGCAAGTCTACATTTGACTATTGTGTAAATTATTTTGGGGGTGATGGGGAAATCACCCTGCTGAAGACCCTGAGACGTTACTGCATCACAGAAGAAGGGAAATTTCCAGACTGTTTATCCCCTCCCCAGTCCTTGTGGGCCTCAGGAACACTATCTAGAACCACCTGGAGCAAAACTGTGCCACCCCTTCATGGGATGCTATTTACCTTTGTGCCATGGAAAGCTTCAGCTGCTCATGGACACCCAGTAAGTTTCTGTTAAAGGGGCATTTTTCTCCAGTCCTGTTGGCAACCTTAGATCTGCTCAATGGGGTGATTTTGCAGTACATGTCCAGTTAGGCATACATCATTGACTCCACAAGAGGCTTGGCTGGCACAAAACATTAGCGCTTTATGCAGCTTTTCACCAATGCTTAAACAACATTTACTATTTTGCGATTGTTACCATCCTTTGTACAAAACTAAGTTCAAAAGTAACCGTGCAATGGGCGAAAGATTTATGTGATCTGAAGAGAAACCAGAGTATTTTACCACATGTGGTGGACCTGTAATAAAGTTCAGGGCTTTTGGAAAATGGTGCGGACACTAATTCAAGAAATAATGGAGAAGAATTTAGCGTTAAGACCAGAAATATATTTATTAAATATGCTACCTAAGGAGTATAGTCAGCAGGACAGATACGTATTGGTATATATAATAACTGCCGCGCGATCTATTATTGGCCCAAAAGTGGAAATCAGATATGATACCGTCAAGGGAGGAGTTAGTGGTAAGAGTGCTAGATTTAGAACAAATGGACAATCTGAGCCTGAGGTTGCAAAATAAAAATGAAAAAGTATTTAACAGAAGATGGGCTAAGGTATATGAATGGATGAAGAGTTAAATTTCTAAGACTCTTTAATATATGTTAACAATGTCTTGAAAAGCAAACAATGTAAATTCTAAAACTTTAATTGTTAACAATGTTTATGGAATGTAATTTATGTAAGTTATGTAAAAACCAATTAAAAATAAATAAAAAAGAATAATTTAAACATTATAACAGAAAACAGAATTGAGTCAAATTTCACCCACCCCTTTCCACTATATTGGTAGACCTGTCCTCTGTAGAACAGGTCTACCTACCCCTTTCCACTATATTGGTAGAACTAGCCCCTGGAGAACAGGTCTACTCACCCCATTATATTGGTAACCTGGCCTCCAGAGAACAGGTCTACCTACCCCTTTCCACTATATTGGTAGACCTGTCCTCTGTAGAACAGGTCTACCTACCCCTTTCCACTATATTGGTAGACCTGTCCTCTGTAGAACAGGTCTACCTACCCCTTTCCACTATATTGGTAGACCTGTCCTCTGTAGAACAGGTCTACCCACCCCAGTCCACTATATTGGTAGACTTGGCCTTGGACTGTCACCTTGTGCTGAGCCTTAGAAAACATACCAGCACTTGGGGGGGGGGGACTCTTGCAGTCTACTTTGCTGTTGTTTTTTTAAGTGAAATATGACAACCAGCATTACAGGTCAAGTATAACAGAGAAGGAACAATCACTGTCAGAACTCTGAGTAACCTAACAAACAAGCGACTTAAATGTTATCAACCTGCCCAAACCACTTATTTATTCAAATATTTATATCCCACTTTTCCCTGTGACTCAAGGCAGCTTACAAATCATACTGAAAAGCATACTAGCTCCATTGTAGGCTATGGGGACCATTATAGTCAATAGGCTCCATAGGTTACAACAGAGAATCGATCTGGGGATATCTGGGACTGGGGGGGGGGCTGTTTTTTGAGGTAGAAGCACCAAATTTGCCATATAGCTGCTTGTGCCTCTCTTCAACCCCCTCCCCAAGTTTATAAAAGATTGGACCAAGGGGTCCAATTCTATGGCCCCCAGGAGGTGCTCCCATCCCAAAAGAAATCTTCTGAGCAGAAGCTCTCAACCTCTGAGCTGTCTGTTAAACTTTTGTGCGCTTGAGCCCCCTAGTGCAACTTAGAGGGAACTGTGATCCAGACCCCGCTTATAGAGTTTCAGCACACTCCTGGGTGGGGGGAGCACTTAAGGAGCTGATCATATGCTAGGGGAGCGTATCCCCAAGAAATATGCCACACTGATGCTCTCTGTCAGAGGCTCTGGTAGAGCAACCCTCTGTGCTAGCAGGGGAGGGGGCCAGCCTGGTAGTGTGGCAGGAGATAGTCAGTATCCTAAGGCACCCCAGCCCATGAACATCTCCTGGCAACAGCACAGAGTTCCACCTGCAAAAACCACAGCATAGCCCATGGACACCCATGGACGCCAGGAAACCACCCCCCACCAGTTGCCATACCCCCAATGCTCCAAGGATCACAGGATGCTGAGGGGTGGTGCAACCACCACCCACTAGCCCTTGGCCAAACTTCTCCCCTCCCCTTCAGCCAATTCTGGCACTCCAGCAGGCAATATAAACCCCAGTCTGTGCTCAGTCAGGCCAGGTGCCAAGTTGTGCAGCACTGAGCTACATTGGTCCACCATGTGATTGTGGGACTTAGCAACTTAGACCACAGTGAGAGCTCACACAAACACTCAGGGAATGGGCACACCCAATGGAAGCACAAGTCACTGACAGGGCAGGGGGTGAAGCAAATGCAGAGGACCAGCAGACCCCTGTGGACCTGATTCCCCTTACAAAGTTGGTGACTCCAGTGGCCTATTTCCTGGTCCCCCCAGCTGTTGGACAGTCATGTTGTGGAGCAAAGAACTTGGTGAAGCCCAGGGGCTGTATAGCCCTGTGGCCAACTGTGTGGTGCATGCAGTGGAAGCACATCTTTAGTTAGCTAAACACCTGCTCAATGACCCTTTGGTTGTAGACGGCACGATCTGTTGACTCATCCCTGTAAGCAGGTATGGGAGCAGGGGGTAGCCCCAGTTACTTGTGGCAGGGAGAAAGACAGCTGTCTGCCTCCTACCAAGTGAGCCCCCTCCAGTGGGGACAATGACCCTCCAGTGGGGACAATGACCTTGGCCACCACTCCTTAGAACAAACCAGTACAAAGAAATCAGAGGGAAAGCAACACCTTCTACAGAATGGAGACAGTCCTGGGGGTGGGCAACTGTTACAGATGGCTTGGATGATCACCCTGTCAAGGTGGAAGCGCTCTGGCCATAGTGCCTCCTGCTGCAACGCTGTGCCACTCAGACATACAGTGCAGTCAAATCCTTTGCAGGGGTGGTGAGTGGAAGGGCCTCTATCCTGATGGAACAGCTATTGGCTTGTGTCCCGAGGGCGGGCCTCCCCCGGGGTGGCCGCTGCCACTCGGGACTCCACCGCCGCCAACTCCCCAAGCCCCAGCCCCCAAGGAACCTACCAGAAAGGAAGGCAGATCCGCCGGAATGCCACTGAGCTGTCCTGGCCCCGGAGAAACACCGCCAGCCCGCCATGACACAGCTGCCGCTGGTGGACGACTGCTGCAGTGAGGGGAACCCTCAGGAAGAGGGGAGGGAACTGTGCCGGGCCTGTGGCCCGGCGCAAGGGCACACCCCCAATTCAGGGCATCCTGGAGGGGAAGAAGTGCATGGTCGAAGCAGCATCGGACACCGGAGGAGGGAAGCTGATGGGAAACCACACCCACAGCTCAGCTTTCTTGCTTAAGAAGGTGGGGTGGGGCCAAGAGGAGGGGTGGAGGGTGAAGCACAGAGGGGAAGAGGTGGCACAAAACGGGAATAAAAGGAGGAACACGAGCAGAGGCTGAGGAGGATGAACTGGTGACAGGAAGGAGTGGCACCCAGAGAGAGAGAGAGAGCTGCCTGACCAGGAAAAGGAGAGTGGAGGGTGGCGACATAACCTGCTCCCCTCCTCCCCAAGGGAGGCAGGGCATGGTGGCAGATTGTCCACCCAGTTCGGGGTCCAGTGACAGCAAAGGGGGATCATCAGACTTGTGCAACAGCTGGGAGGACTGGGGGCACTTTAGGAGCTCAGATCATGGGGGTCTCCCCATGCCTTGGGGCCTAGGCCCCATCTCTTACCCTCATCCCCAGGGGGTATGGTCTGTGGCAGGAGTGAATGAGAATGGGTGTGAGGAGGCCATGGGTGTGGTGCAGGGTCATGTTGCTTTCTGTTGACCCCTAGGCTCCATTACCCTGACCTTCTTTGCTGGTGTTGAGAATCTTTGCACCCTTACCCCTTCGAGATGTAGAAGCCAGGCATCAGAAACAACCCATGATGACCAGGTGTGGATGAGACATCCCAGTGGTCTGATTCCACGGATGGGTGGGGGGCGGACAGGGGAGACTGGTGCTTTACTGGTGAACGCTGGCCCGGCCCATGATGCTGTAGCCAGTGAGGGCTGGGGATTCAGAGCAGCTGCCTAGTCTTCAGATGTGGAGTTCACACCCAGCACAGCACATCCTCCCGCCCAGTACAGCAAGTTCTCCCACCCTCCTGTCCATGTAGACAGCCATTGACAGGGAGTGGCTGGAGATCAGGCATGAGTGGAGAGATGCTGAGGCCTGGGGTCAACAGTGATTGGACAGCACTGTGGCAGCTCAAGAGGTGACTGCTGGGCCCCTTGCACAGCTGGTGGCTATTGCTGGGGACAGGAAGAATCAGCAGCTGCACACTAGGGAGCAGCTTGTGGATGTGTAAATGCCCATGTAAGAGGAACA